GCAGTTCCTGTAACAAAATACAAAAAAGAGAAAGAAGCAGCAAACAACAGCCACTGCTTGATGAACAGTCGCAGAGTTGTGCCTGCTAGACCCTGTATAATTTAAAGATCAGGAGCCCAGAGAGACAGTCCAGGAGAAACAGACACCTTCTGCTGGTGAGTACCCAGTCAGCTGCGGAGAAAGCAAAATGCTCCTCCAGACAAGGCTGCCCCTGTAGCGGCTGAGCCGCCATTGCACTACGGTGTGGTGGCAGCGTGGCAAGGTGTGCTCAATGACTCCCTGTCAAGTGTTTAGTTACCTACCACCCACAGTGACAACGGGTTAAAAGGGACGCTGGGCTACCACTAACCAGGTTTAGATACTACTGCTTTTGGGTTTGTTCCTGGACCCACCTTGAGTGAGCAGTGAAGTCACACAAAACCTTCTTAGTGCAGTTCTCAGCAGGGATGTGCAAACCCCGTCTGGTTTTGGCTCAGGCAGGGCCATATTCCCTGAACTTCAGTCTGAGATTTGTTTCAAATACACACAGGCCCTCCAAGTGCAGCCACAGCCAAGTTCAGCCTGGTTGCAAGTCAAATGTTCAGATGGTTTCCACCCCAAATTGTAAATCCCACCCTGTCACCTGGAGCTGAGCCCATTCTGCTCAAACCTCAGCCTGCGTTTGGGGGAAACTTGACCCTCGTTCACTGAAAGGTTTGCAAACCCAGCCCGTGTTCTGGGTTTGTCACAAACCCTCCAGAACAGCCAAAATGCCCTTGGGTTTAGGGTTCATCTGGACCTTGTTGCCAGAGTCATGGTGTCATCTAGTGGTGACAGCTTGTATGGACAGAGACATAGCACTCCCCAGTCAGTGTAGCGCAATTTCAGGTCCAGTGAATACCTTTCTCCCAAAGTACATCAACTTTCTGAGAGGCAGAACAGGCTCACCATTTGAGGAAAGGCCATCTACACCTCGAGAAAAGCTTATTGCAAAAGCTGCCTAATAAAGTGAAGGGCAAGCTTTGCTTTTTGTATCACTTCTACACAACTAGTAGATACAAAGTCCTGGGAAATGAGAAAACCACAATAACTTTGAGGGATAGGAATCTGCAGCAGGCTCAGTTGTAAGTAAGTTTTAAATCAGAGTTAGTGTATAAGTTGCATCTGCTGAAAAGTACTTTTACCTATACTGCTACAAATAATGCTAAAAATCCTAGTAACAGGAAAAAAAGTTCTACGATTTCCATTAGTAGTTTGTGAGCTCTCTTGCATAGACGCACAAATGTGCTCAGTAATGAAAAAATGGCATCTGATTTTTGGATTCCCAATTTACATCCTATTGGGCTCATGCTCCCTAGCTGCTTTGAGTAGCCAAAGCAGCTCCCAAATCCAGAGCACATCTTTTGCAAGAAATCAAGCTCCTTATGTCTCGCTTCAAGCACTTCTAAAGGGATTTGGTCTACTATATATCCCATGTAACAAGGTTACAGCAACATGAATTCCTGCTCCTCGGTGAAGCTGGGAACTGATGTACCTGCTCTTAAGTCTGCTCTGGTTTTAAGGAAGATTTAAGCTTAGAAATTTTACCTTTCAGCTGAGACAAAGCAGAAACACAAACACAATTGGTTTTCCAGGCTCAGCTGATGGGTAGGAACTCGGTTACATCAGCCCTGTTCCCATAGCCTCAGGCACTGCACTGAGTCACTTGTCCCATAAGCTGATAAAAGCTGTATCTCAAAGGAAAGAAAATTCTCTTCAAATTGGAAGAAGAATCACAGTGTCAGCAGAAAGGCAGGGGAAAAAAATAATTTCAGCACTGTACCAGAAACCAACAGGGCTTTCAGGTTCCTGAGGTCTTTCTGAGGTTTCATCAGGGATCCAGCTCGGGTATTTCTATGGCAGGTTTGTCTTCTTACCTACAGCTTAATCCCTCCCTCTGATCTAGTCATCTTGTCTGCAAGCTAATGAGCTTGGAATTACTGTATGTTTGTGTGCCTCTCTGTTTAAACCCTGATCTGTGACAGAGCCACAGCTGCAGTTGGACTTGCTTGATTCTTTATTATCTGGGGTTGCAACCTAAAGACCAGGCTTGATGCTAAAAACATTGAAATTCAAATCCCAGTTTATATGTGGGGTAAGAAGGAGAAAGCACTTTTCAGAGCACAGGTTTCTATTGGGAACCATCCCTAGACAACACTTTTTAAACCTGGTAACAGCACAGACCATGGTAGAGGACTCATGGCAGAGAATCCCAAACACCGCATCCCACCTTTGTCACAGACAGCATAGGGAAGACTATTAAATACTACTTGACTATACTCAGAATGACCACAGGAATTATGAATAAGCTGGAGCAAAGTGTTTTCTCTTCTTGGACCTGTTTTCTTTCCCCATCTTAACAGGTGTTGGGCTAATTCTGTGAGGCTTCACAGTGCCATCTACAACACTGTATCTATTGCAAAAGCAAAGCCCAAGGCAAATTGCTCAAAGGTAAGAGATATTGTTGCATGGGAAGGTTTTTATTTTTTAGTAAGTACTCATGAACCTTAAAATAACAACTTACAGAGCCTACATGTAGAGTACCTTTCACCCCAAAGCTCCTTTCCAAAAGCACAGAACCACAAAAACGTAGCTGTCTCTGGAGCTGAATACAGCTGCTGTTCACCCAGCCCAGCACAATAATAACATGGAGAACTACTGCACTGTCCACGACAAACATCTGTGTTTTTCTGGTAAATGCATTATGAATTTCTGCACACTTGCTATACCAAAGGAGACTCATATATATATTCAAAGGCTTCACCTGAGACAACAGTGCAGAGTCAGCAAAATGTATTTCCTTTATGTCCCTCGGAAGGTCAAAAACCTCAGCAGAATATGCCAGAATACAAACTGCCAGGCTCTTGAGCAATTTCATATCTGATATTCAGGTACTCGCTAGCTCTACCACTCAGTGGCTGCCGTGACAGATATGTCACAGCTAAAGGTCACGGCAAGGTTTTTCCCTGCCAGAGTTGCTGGCTTTACAGGAAAGGCACATTTGTTTCCCCCCGTGGCTAGAGCCGCGTGTCCCAGGCACCATGGCTTGTTTCGGAGTGCCCTCTGCCGCCCAGCCCACAAAGCTGTGAGGCTGCAGTTAATGAAGCCGAGAAAATTAGCGGGATCCCAGTTAAGCAGAGGCAGCAATCAGCACCATTCAGCCTCACATGCAGCGCAGAGTTGAGACCTGAGATCAGCATCTGACTCTAATTACCAGAGCTCTAGAGGCAACACGTTTGGAAAGCACTGCCACCTACCAAGGCTGCAAAGACAATTTTCAGGCCTGTTTTCTGGGGCAACTGTACCTCAGGTGTTACCTACCACACCTCACAAAGCTCCTGCCCAGTTGTTCTCACCTGGGATCCAGAGCACAGCAAAGCAGAGTTTGTTTTGCCAGCCTGGCACTGCAAAACTGAGACAACTTGCTTAAGAACAGACCAAGACACATTCCTAGCTCCGTATGTGTCGCCAGCAAGTGGTTTTCAATTCCCAAAGACATGTGTGGGGTGTTAGGGTATGTAACATAGTCTTCATATGGGACTTGCATCCACACTCCCAACAAGCACTCCCAATTCCCTTCTTCTGGCTGCCATGCATCCCTTGGGAAGAAATACCTGAATGCAGTAAAGTAGGTAACTTCAGGTTCCCTTCAGTTAACTGCTAGCATTGTCTGCCTACGTGATTAACTGTGTCACTGTGTCATCCTCTCTGTTCTGCTCTCCCCGGGCAGGGAGCAGAGCCACGCATAGTATTCCTAAACCTGAACATAAGCACGTGTGCAGTTTCTTGCTGCTACAGTAAGCAATGAGGCTCTAACTATGGCCATGCTGACCCTGGAGAAGGACATATTAAGAGTAATAAAACTCAGAGCAACACTACCACTGCCTTTGGACAACTGATACCGTACCAGAAATAAACACAAAGGCATTGCCTCGAACTGCAAAGCTTTAGTAACAGGGCTGCTGAAGTTGCAATTGCCCATCAGAACAGTTGTATTGGGGAGGTTGTGCTATTTAATAAGCCAGCTGATGCCAGGACTGCAAGTTATCATAGCACATCTACTTTTGCCAGTGAAGCAGCCTATCTAGTAAGTACTGAGCCACGTGTTGCCCAGCAGATTCTAGTCCTTGTTATACACGGGACAAGCAAAAATGCCATGATGTCTCAACACCAAGCAGCATAGGTGCAGTACTTTTCATAAAGTCAAAGAATTATTAATCATGCTCTTAAGCTGTATCTATGTTTAGGACAAATTCCTTTACTGCTCTTTTTCTCACAGCATTCATTGTGGAAGCAAGGGGAAAGGATGGACATACCTATGGTGAAAAAAAAAAGTCTAATCTAAACTGTTCTCTTGGCTACAATCCCTTTTGCCCTCTCCAGCATTTTCCAAAGAGGACTCTGGCTACTCTTCCCATGTTTGCTTAGCTCCATGGCTTCTTTACCAAATTCCCATTCCCTGTCAGTACCAACCCTGATGCTATGCAGCATTTGCTGGATGTCTGCAGGGGGTACCAGGACCAGCCAGAACATCACACAGGCACGTTGTGCTAATGGAGGTGGATTGCTGAGCTTCAGTCTCCAACACACATAATGAGATTAGCATTTGAATAGTGCTGATCAAGTTACCAGTAGCACTGAACCCCGGGTCCATCAGATGCAAATGAATCACTATAAATTTTGCTCCTTTCTTAAGGGCTCTTTATATGCATGGCCAACACAGCAAGAACCACAGTGGGTATAGCCAGGGAAGTCTGTCTCTCACCATGACCTGAAATTTCTGAGAGTGAAGAAGCCATAGGAGCATCTTTTATAAAAAGAATTTCATCTAAGAAAGAGCATTCCCCCTCTCCCTCCTCCTGTTGATGCCTCTTTTCTCCCAGGGCTGTGGAGGCATCAGGACATACTCCAGCATCAGGTTCAGGAACAAAAACCTTCAGAATACCTTCATGGAGGTCTTAATTCTCTACGTTATTAATTACCTGAGCAATTTCTGAAAGTTCTGTCAGCCTCCTGGCATAAAGGACGCATCCTTCTCTGATGGGAGGATGAAGGTGAAGTAAGTCTATGCTGTCTCCAACTGCATTGATTCAGTCCCTCTGAAGTGGTTGCAGTATTCTAGAGTGTCTTGGTATTCTTGCCTCCTCAGTATATCTGGAAGAAACTACAGAACAGATCCCATTTAGGAAGAATCATCTTTAGGATGCCTTGCATGATTAAATGCAAACTGTCTAATTCTCTCTGTATCTCAACAGATGCTCAAGCATAGGGGAGTTTTCTCCCACCTCTATGCTGTGGGCAGGAAGCCTGAGAGGAGGGGAAGCAGGCATATCAACCTGTGAAAATGAAATCTGCAGATTGCAGCAGGTGAGCTTTGGCACACACCGTCACCAGAAACCACAACAAGAAAAGAAGTCACAAGTGCTTGTCACTCCTACTAACATGAAGTTTTAACATGTTCATGAAGTTTCTACAAGCTTTACAGCAGAAGAAATTATACAACTGAGATACATCAAATGCAATAATCTGATAGTTTTTAAGAAGATAACTGCAAAGGAGCTTGTTCTTGTAGTATCTCCAATTGACCTCTACACGCAACTGGCTCCAGCTGCTTTCATTTCATTTCTCTGAACACACCTAACAGAAGAAAATAAGACCATGTCAGCTCTCTATCCAGCCTAACTCAAATACAGAAAATAAGGGAGCACTGTGAAGAACACTCAAACTCATTCACTTCCCAATACCAAACTCTGACTTTAATTGCAGTCTAGCAGGTTCTATGCATCTTATGTTAGAACACACAACAACTGCTATGTGGGTTGAAATTTGCAACTGGGAGTAACCTTTTGAAATCCAGCATTAGCAGAGCTGTTTATTATTCCTAATACAGTTATTTGCCAGCTGACACCCACTTCTAATCTCAAATATTTCTAACAATACTACTACAGGCATTTATTGAGAAGTTTACACCTAATCATGTTCGTTTATTCCATACCCATTCAGAAGAATAACCTCTGATGCCATCTCCATTTATGCTAGCTCTTAATTGATCTTCTCATCATAACTGCTTGAGACACTCATTTGGGCTTTCATTTTACACAGTACATTTATTTTGAGATGCAGAAAAGGAAAATACATACACACAAGCATTAACTTGAATTTGCAAAACATTAGAATTCCTCACCACCTCCCAAGAGAAAAGAAGAAAACTTATCTCATCACTCCACCTGCTCCCTGTTACCGGAAAGGCGTGAGGAAGCATACTACATTTGTAGTGTCAATCAGTTCCTTTTCCTACAGATCCCAAATAGGTACAACTAACTGCAGGCAGAGAGTACAAAACTTACTCCATGCCCCAGCTGCTTGTATAATACAGCTGAACTAAATCAATAAATAAAGCAGTTCTTGCACACGACTTGTCCCCAGTGAACCTCCAATCGTTTTTAGAAAGCCAGCAGCACCTCCTCACTTTGCTAACAAAGACAGGGGCTCAGAGCCCATCTTGCTGTGAGCCACCCATCACACAGGCAACAGAGAGCTGCACAAGACCCACTTTAACACCCACTGCAGAAGCCCAAGCCATTTAATTCAACAGGCTGACTCCAGGGCTTCCATACTGAGAACACCTTCACCACACACAAAGACCCACCTCACAGGCAGAGGCAAAATGTGCTGCCTTCATAGTCCCTCTCCCGCCCCTGCCTCCCAGAGCTGTGAGCACAGCAGCACACCGCCCTCACACTGCCTTTTGACGCCTTCTCCAGAGGGCACCCCTTCAGATGGCCTGGCTTTGGGCTGGTTGCCCCTAAGCAGCCTCAGCTGCCCCGAGCCAAGGGGACATGCTGGGAGTTCCCTCATTAAAGCAGAAACTCACCCTGATTTAGGTGATGTCTCACAGGTACTCAAAAAGACTACCGAGAGGAAGACGTGGGTGCAGCCACGTCATCAACCCTGCACAGCAGGTGCCCACTCATGCCCGCACCCTGTTCCCTGCAAGGGTGACCAGTAACCCCAGGGGTCCGCCCAAACACCTCCAGCCCAGGGCCCTTCCCCTCAGGGCCACGGCGGCCTCGCGGAGGAGGATGCCCTCTTGTGAAGGACAACAATCCGCTCCTCTCAACGCTCCCCATCCCCTCAGGGCTGAACTCACCTCACGGCTGCACGGGCCCGCCCCAGGGCCGGGTCTGCCTCCCGACGCTTCGGCCCCTCAGGGCTGGGCTCGCCTCGCCTCGCCTCAGCTGCCGGATTCCCCTCAGCGCTGAGCCCGCCCAGGGCGCGCGCTCACCTCGGGTCAGCGCCCCCTGCAGGCGGGGGCGCTCAGGTGCTGGCAGCAGTCACCTCAACCTCAGCCGCAGCCGCGGAGGGGCCGGCCCGGGCTGGGTACGGGGGGAAAATGGCCCCTGAAGATGAGGGTGCCTGAGCTGAGCTTCCGAGAGAGCCCCAGTATGGAATCTTGCATGAAACATTAATGTCATTAATAAAAAATGTCATTTAAGATGGGCAGTAGTGGTAGACAGGATTGTAGCTTTCCAACAGCTAAAGGGGGTCTATAAAAAAGGTGAAGAGAGGCTTGTTACAAGGGCACGTAGTGATAGGACAAGGGGGACTAGCTTTAAACGAAAAAGGGTAGATTTAGGGAGTAATTTCTTTCTAATATTTAATCCATGTGGGTGCTGAGGCGCTGGCACAGGGTGCCCAGAGAAGCTGTGGCTGCCCCATCCCCAGCAGGGCTCAAGGCCAGGTTGGATGCAACCTTCCACCCCAAACCATTCTGTGTGAAGCAGCTGAAGAAGAATCCCCATTTCTCTATTAGGAAGAAAGGTCACAATATAATGACCAGTACACAACCATGCAGGACGATGTAAACTAAAACTCAGCGCATGGCAAAGGATGTGCAACAGACACAAAGTCTAAAGGTCTTTTATTACATTTTATAGATTAAATATATCTTCAGTAGAGTCTCTTTTTTTAAAACACACAAAAGGAAAAAATACATTCTTCATGTACATATGAAATACTGACCACGTAGCAGGGACCATGTACAGTGCAAAGTATGAACACAGCTACACAGATATCACCACTTGGATGATTATCAGGCTTTTCTACAGTAAAATTAGGAAAATTTAACATTTCTGCTTCCAAAGAGAAATCCATACCCTTCCCATCCATGGCATTTTGTGGGATTGTGCAGGAAAGGGTATTTTTTACTTTTTAAAGGTATTAGAAAATCCTTGCATTGCATGAAAACTCATCGGCCTCCACAAGCTTTACATCTTTCACACATTCATAATCATAGTACAAGTTTTACCGTGATTGCAGCCCAACTCCAAAAACCCAAGGAAAACCAGAAATATATAGAACCTGGTAAAGAGAAAGGAATGAATCAGAGTGATTGTTGCAATGTCCAGGAAACATGTACCCACTTGTACACACACATACACAACAGATGGAAGATAGCGAAGTGTGACTGAGCATCTCCTATTTATTACAGGTTTGGAGTGAGGGCACAGGGTTGCACGTTTCAGTTCGGCAGTGAATCTCTAGTGTCTCTCAGTACGGGATGTCATTCTGGTAGTACTGGATCATGTCGTATGTCCTGCTCCTAGAGAAGAAAAGCAAAGCCAGAGGTAAGTGAAAGCTTAGAAAAACAATGCACCCATTGTCACCGAAACAAACATCAAAATCCCACAGAAACAAAGCATGGGTGAAGGAAATTAGCTGCTAATCAAAACTAGCCTTCTGTGCTTTGAAGGCATTGTGAAGCCCAGTTACTGTTATGAACAGCACAAAACATCCTGCTCTTGTTTAAACTAGGTAAAAAAAAGTATTCTCAGTGTGGCAACAGCAGCTTGGATCCTGTGTTAGGATAAGCCAGAGGCACCTCACATTGCATTGGTGGTTTGTTTTAGCAGAAGGAAATGCATATTAAATGAAATAAGATCATCAGGCCTGCATGGAGACAGGATTATGTGGAAATAAAAGGAATCTTAATTAAGGAGAATGCCAATAATGAAAAGTGCAGGGGAAATAACGGCATTAATAGCAGCATCTTTGATGAGTGACTGAACAAACAAATCTAAGCCTTGTTATAGATAACTCAATTATCCATGGGAAGAGCTTACTCAGGTCACAATAACCATGCTACAGGTAGAGAAGCTCCAGCTTATCAGAGCTAAGGTGGCTCTGGGCATTCACACTGCACACTGCAGTGTGCTGCCTTTGTAACCTCTAATATTGATCTAAGATTCTGAGCAGATGCACCAGCAGGCACTAGAAAATCCAATTCAGTTTTAGCAGGGCTGTATCTCAGGACTTAAGCCTTTCTGGTCTCAATCTGACCCAAATGGAACTAGGTAAGAGTTTGCATTAGACTCTCCAATATATCCCACAAAGTCTGTATTCTCTGGGATAATAATAATAAAACATGCACTTAAGATATTTAAGTTTTAAATTTATTGTATTTAAAGTATTAAATGTAATAAAATTACATTTCACATGTAATTTCCTTTGAAAAGCTTTGCACAAGATACCAAACTATTTGTTTATTTGAAGGGAAAAAACCCTACAGTTGATGGGCTAGCTGGTGATTAAGTTCATTTTTAAACTGCTAAATACCTGATAATTAGTAGTAGATGACAAATAAACATGGCCCAGCTACAAAGACATTCAGAACCCACACTGCCTACGTTCCCTACCTGAGGTATTTTCCCTAGCCAGTATTACATACGTAACATATGGTCTACAAAATGATTAATATGTTAATGTAGTATCAAGCAACAAAGCAAGAATAGTAGAAAGATTAGAATTCATTTCTAGAGAAGAGTTTTGCACAGAATAACAGCTCAGAATTTCAGGAGGATGTTCAGGCAACTTAATGCCTACAAGCAATTTTGAGAAAGATCTTGGAAAGTCACTGTGGTTCTGTTTCTGCTTCATTCTTACTCAAACCAACAGATCATGTTTTTTAAGAAACCTTCTCCTTACAAAATAATAAGGAACAACCTTCAGGATCAAACTCTATTAATCTGGACCAGAAAGCATGCGACTCCTGTTGCCATTCTTTACTATTTATCCCTTTCTTTGTAGAGGTGACCCTACCCTATATAAAAGGAGGTATCACAAGTAGACATCTAACCCTAACAGTACAGTTGGCCATAGGAACCAAAATGCTTAACTTTGGGTTCAGAGATTCACCCTGACAGAAAATCTTCCATTCCTTAGACTAGCCAGCCTTGCTATTTGAAGAGCCTGGGCTTAAGCCCTCCTCACCAGTGTAAAAGAGAAGAGATGAACCATGTTCAGCAGCAAAGCTGCTATCCTGCATAATCAAAAATACCAACAACTCAAAAATGTTTGTTATCTGACTGATAAAACTCTACTTATTAGCTCTGCTCAAAGCTCGATAACCTTCCTTTAGCCATAGGGAGAATACATGCACAGATGCCAAACCTGTTGCTGAGGAAACAATTCTGGATGATCTTGATGATGAAGGTTGCAGCCTCCCGTTCAGTCATGTTGGGGCTGAACCTATGTCTGGATGCAGAAAACCACAAAAAGCAAGAGTAAAAATTAGTGAGCTTTCTTTGAGCATGATACAAATTCGGTTTTGCACATGCTGAGCCAGGTGTGGATTTCACTTGCTGCAAGTACCTACTTTCTTGTGAGAGTACCTCGCTCAAATTACATAATGTTTTAATAAGCACTTGCTGCCTTTAGTCTTACAGGGGAGACAGAGGCTGTGATCATCAGTTTAGTGGTAACTCCAGGAACAGCAGATCCCTCTTTCTAGGCAGCCGCTGTTTTTTACATCTTTGCAACTAACAGTGTCCTCTAGCTCCTGCCCGTCATACTTTATACATCTGCACTTATCTTTAGGTAACTGTAGGAAATTACATACAGGAAATGCTCAACTAATTCTGCTCAGTCTGGAGCTAATCCTGGAGGCATAAGCCTGAAGGGTTTAGAGTATCACATCAGAATTTGTCCAAGTTGTTGGGTGTTACAACATATTTCCATTCATTACTGCATTATCTGTAGAACAAATTTTAAGATGCTGTTCTTCAGAGTCCAGCACCATTTCAGAGGACATCAGACCCTGCAACACATTACCTCTCAATTAAAGCAGAGCTTTCCTTTATGGTCTTATTTTGCTAGCCCTACAGACTTAGAGATAATCATGTACTTGCACAGTAAATGAACAGCTTGAACTTAATTCTACAAAAAGGCCTCTGGAATTCCTACTTTCTGAGATATTCCATAATCAAAAGTTAAACATCTTTTACAACATTAAGACATTTAAGATTTGAGTAGCATGATACCTCTACTCACTGCACAAGTTGTGACAGTATACATTCGGTGAAGAACATATGACTACTTTCCAGTTCATACATATGCTGACTTACTTCAACAGCTTGATTGTTTGCCCTCGAAAACAGGGCAGCCCTGTATCCAACATCAGTGTAACCAGTGAGACAACAGCATCCATGTAAGGCCTAGAGAAAAAGAGGACAAAAAGGCCGCAGCACTCAAACTCCTGCAGTTTTAGTAGGTAAAGCAGGCAAGCTGAGGGGTTCAACGAGCTGGATCACACCTTTTTCTGTAATTAAATCAACACATACAATCCTCTTTCATTTGCTGGTAGAGTTATACCACTGCTTGTAATCTGCCCGTTTAATTAAATTTGCCTCCTTAATGTTGGACTACCAGATATTCAGAATGCTGCAAGATAAACAGTCTCAAGGAGGATTATACAATACAGTGCTTGATTAAACATTTCTTCAGCATCAGACAGGTGAATCAGTGCATCAAAACAGTACAAAAGGCTGAAACCAGCAATACCACAGTAACAGCTTATCTTGTAATTCCTAATTACTCTACGTAATTCTTTGCTACATCAGCCCAGCTTCCCTTCTCCTTCCT